TTCGACGCCGTTGAGCCTCTCACACCTTCCAAAGCTGATAGCCATCTCCCTCCAGGTGTCAGCCATGAAGTGCGGCCTCCTGCCTCTGTCCCACGAGGCTCTGCTGGTTGGAGATGTGGCCTATTACGACTATAACGGAGTCATGGAGGAGGAGGAGGACCGAGTGGAGCTGCAGAAAAGCTTAGGACCCACCTGTAAGGTGAGCGGGCGGCTGGAGACCAGACTCATAGTAGCATTAACTCAGCCCGTGCCACCCACACGGGACTCAGATTTAGAGAGGAGACAGAAGGTGTTGCGGCCTTACACGGAATTAATTATTCAGTCTGGAGATGCTCTTTACAGCTCAGCCGGTAACGTTGACCTCCTTTTTTTTTTCTCCTCTCCCAGGTTCTGGTGCTGAGGAATCACGGCATCGTGGCTCTCGGGGAATCTGTGGAGGAGGCCTTTTACGCCATCTACCACATCCAGGCAGCCTGCCAGATCCAGGTAACTCGCACGCAGATTCACTGCTGTTAAGGGAATAATACTGCAGTTGGATAAGTGGGTGTGTGGGAAAGGGAACCAGCATGTGTGTGTGTGTGGGCAAAGTGGCCCATGTCCTTTCTCCTGGTGCCCTCTCGCTGTTATTCAGCCGGTAAAGAAACGCTGCAGGGAAGCAGATATGGAGCACTTTTTGTAAAAGGTGCTGAGCTGGTATGGGTGGGGTGTGTGACGGGGACGGAAAAACAAAGAGCTGAGGAGGCTGTTTTTAGCTGGATTGGTTCTGTGTGTGGGCATGTCTTTGCCAGGTGTCCGCCCTGTGTTGTGCCGGCGGGGAGCAGAACCTGATACTGCTGGACCGCACCGTCCACAAACCCACTCCGGCCGGCACCGTCGGCTGGGCCGGCTCCACTTTCGGACCCCTGCATAAGAGCCGCGTCGGGGATCACGAGTTCGAAGCCCTCATGAGGACTCTGGATAACCTGGTGAGCAGCAGCAGAACTTCGGGGCGGTTGGAGGGGCCTGCTGCCACTCCCTTGGCTAAGACTTCCTTTGTGGTGCATTTTCACCCATTTACAGCTCCATAAACTCACCGAAAGATGCTTGGGAGGGACTAAAATGGATATGAGATGACCAGAATGCAACTTAATTTCTAACTTCCAAACTAGCTGCTGACAAGCAGCAAATACATGGGGACTTAAAAACAGAAAGATCAGACCTGTCTGACACAAAAAGGGAAACCAAATACCAACAAATAATCTAAAAATTAGCAGTTAGAGTCTCTGAGATTAATAATCTAACAAAAGACCAAGCAATCTAAGTGAGAAGTGCTGATGGTTAGGCCCAGTCGGCACTTTCTTTTCAGAATGCTGCACCAAAAATAGCCAAATGGATCGTGATAATGAGTCCCATTGCATCAAAAGTCTTTTTTTACCTGTCAGTTTGGTTGCTTGAGCCTGTCCTCTTTAAGGGTTTGCTTGTTTCCCATTCCATCAGGCAGTGCGACATTATTGTAGCTGAATTTAAAAATATCTGGTGTTCAGTTTCACATTCAGGAAGTTTGTCTGCTTCATAATTAGCTAGCTGCTTCTGACTCTTTGTTTTTTAACACAGATGGCATGTAATACCAAACTAATCTTCTTATAGAAGTACAGAATATCCCCATATCACTGTCTCCACTGAGCCTGTGTGGGAACAGACGCTGTGTTTTCCGTTTGTTTTGTGAAGCTCGCAGCAGTTCCGCCTCTTGTTTTCTGTGAAACCTTGACATTTGTTTTCAACCACAGTAGAGGCCAAATCAGCTTGTCTCATTTGGTGATTAATCAGATAAAGGATTTGCTCCGTAATTTAAACTCCCACACAACCGGCCCCGCAGTCAGATTATTTGAGATCAGCTTTATTTATTCACAGCTTGGGGTAGATATTAACAACAAAATTTGCACTGATTCCCATTCTTTATCCATACACCCGCTCATTTTAAGCCGTTTATCTGAAGTCGGGTCATAGAGGCAACAGGTTCAGAAGGGAAACCAAGGCATCCCTCTAACCAGCAACACTCTCCAGATCCTCCTGGGGGATTCTCAGGATAGAAGATATCTCCATAAACCCTCTAGTGTGTTCTGGGTCTGCCCAGTCCCTCTTCCAAGCCTGCAAAAAACCTCCAGAGGATGGCATGGTAGTCACCCTCCAGATTTAATGTCATAGAGTCCCAGAGGGTTTCCTGTATAGTTTTAGTGGTACTGATCAAGTTCAGAATCATCCACATTACCTGACGTCAACTTTCACTAGTTGAAACACATTCAAACCAGGCAACTGAACCTTTTTTTTAGGTTTGCAAATGGGAAGCTTTTAAAATCTCAGTAGCAGAAAAAAAGCTCTGTGTGCGAACCCAGGAGCTGACCGCTGCCCCCGGAGCTCTCACCCCAGCCGTTGTTCGCTTTAAAAATCTCTGTTTTTCAGGGCTACCGCACCGGCTACGCCTACCGCTTCCCCGTGCTGCTGGAGCGCACGCGGACGCGCAGGGAGGTGGAGGTGCCCCCCACCGCCACCGCCTTCCACCAGTTCGACGACGACGGCGTGCACCCGTCCCTGAGGCAGCACCCGTTCGTCCAGCGCCAGCAGCAGGAGAGGACCCGCTGGCTCAACACCCCCAACACCTACCAGAAAGTCAGCCAGGAGCAGGCCAGCCCGGGCCACCAGCGCACCACGGTGAGCCTCGTTTCAGTGTCTGTGTGTGTGGGGGGGGGGGGGTACAAAGAAATGATGCAGAGGTGAAGGATCGGGACAGGATGGAATTCAATTTTTCAATTTCAATTTCAATTTCAATTTTATTGATATAGCGCCACATCACAACAACAGTTGTCTCACAGCGCTTTTCCAAACAGAGCAGGTCAGACCCTACTCTGAAGTTAACTACAGAAACCCAACCAACAACCACAGGAAAAACTATTGGAGCAATGTTAAGACGAATGATCTGTGACGGTTATTCAGTTTTCACGCATGTGAATGCCCGACGACAACAACTTCCTGCTGCACCTCAGTGCCCTTCGTGACATCATCCCCGAAGAGGAGATCTGCATCAACCAGATTAATGGGAGGCGGGCTTTGGGGTGCCTCTCAGTGGAGGAATCCGGGGCGGGTGACGTTTCCTCGGGTCAAACGCATTTTGAGCTGCGTATTTTTTCTCCAGAAATGGTTACAGAGGAGATGGGAGAAATCTGCAAAGACGAGTCACACAAAAACATGGAGAGTAATCGTCTTCCATCAGAGGGAGGAGCTTTAGTCTCTCAGGCCCTCCCACCCTCCTCTCCTCCTCTCTCTGCATTGCAGGGGAAAGCCCACCGGCCCTGTGGTGACTAATACGGAGTGGACTCTGCCCCCTGGTGGCCAAATTACAGCTAAAAAAAAAAATGAATTTAGCAGAAAACACATGAATAAAGTGGCTTCAATGTCACTGTCAGGGTTCCCACCTGTAAATTCAGATTCTTAACTCTCTAAAGTTGTAGAAAAAAACAGCTTTGATGCTTTTGTTTCTTCCCCCCCCCAGTGGCTGAAGACTGAGGAGATGACACAAGCTGGCAGCACGTCCATCAAGATAGAGAAAAACCAGTTTGTGCCTCTTTTCACCAACCCGCGAGAGGTGATCGAGACCCGAAACAAGGTAGGCCGGTCCCCCCGCCCCCCCCCTGTGCGCCGATCCGCACGTTTACGGAAGCGTTTGGATGTCTGCAGATCCGACAGCAGAACCGCCAGGACATGAAAACAGCGGGACCGCAGTCTCAGGTTCTGGCCGGCGTCATAACAGTGGACGGTCCCCCGGTGAGCCCCGCCCTCCTCATTTCCCTCCCACCTCGTTTCTTCTCTCCCTCCTTTTAAATGTGTGTCTATTTTTTGTTGTTCCCGCTTTCCCCGTCAGAGCCCAGTAAGCCCGCCCAAAGCCCCACCCGAGCCAGAACCCCCCAACCCCTTCAACCAGCTGACGGACCAGGAGCTGGAGGAGTACAGGAAGGAGGTGCAGAGGAAGCAGGATGGAGGGACCAACGGTAGGCTCCGTTCAGCCCACGCTCCCCATGTAACTGAAGGCACTCTTTTTAGTATAATGAATGACTAACTTTGGAATTAAAGCAGGTGTTCAGATGTTGGGGGAACACATAAATCTGCCCCACTTTCAGGTGTTTGCTGATAGAGTATTTAACAAGGAACTGGGAGACATCATTGGGGTGAAATAGGGGGTTGATATAAAAAACTCAAATTAAATCTTTATTTTGATCTTTTAACCAGCAGCTGGTGTGTTGAGTTGTTTCCTAACTTGTCTCTCATAACACCAAAGGTGTTATGTATATCGTGCCCCCCTCCCTCTCACTAAGACTTCCTTTGTGGTGCATTTTCTGTTAACTAGTCTTAATCAGTTCAGACCAAAGACTTTGTACTTTCCTTTCCAAGGGCCAACAGGTCCTCTAAAACCTTTTACAGTAAACCTCTACTTATTATTGCCTAAAAATACGAATTTTCCAACAACTGAAGTGAAATTCTATCAAATATTCGACTCGATAACCAAAGTAAATTTCCAACATATGACGTCGAAGTCATAGAAAAAAACATATAAAATATAAAAAATTAAATAAGAATTAATAAGCTAAGTTTGTTAAAAGTTCCCATAGTGAAAGTTAGAGTTACGGTGTGTACTGTATCTCAGTCACTGCATTCTTATGGGAATATTTGAGCCAACATACGAATATGTTAACATACGAAGTAGGTCCCAGAACTAATCAAATTTGTATGTAGAGGTCCTACTGTACTCATCTATTCCTTTTTTTTAAAAACTCAAAGGCTTAAGCCTTCTGTGTCTGTTGGATTTGAGGTTGTTTTTTTTGTCCATGAGTTAAGCTCCATTTAAAATGGAAATGAGCTGACGTGGGTCGAAAGCAAACTAATGTCTTCTGGTCTGAACGGGTTGAGAAAACACACTTTGGGATTGTGGTGTACGCTGTTTTTAACCTCTTTGTCGCACAACTCTAACCTCCTGCTCAGCCAAATGCACGCCATCCTTCACTTTTTTGTGTGTGTCTGTGTGTGTTCTTGTGGGGAAAGGGGAGGAAGTGGCAAATGACAAGGATGTCCCCCCTGCCACCTCCCCTACAAAGGGCCCCGAGGGCAGCCTCCCTCCTCTCGAAGGTGAGGCTTGGCAGAGCGCCGACCGTTTGCTCGGCTTGCCCTCCATGCTCATCCGAACCGCAGCCTGTCCCAGGTTTTACTCCCAGACTGCTGAGGGACTGGGCCCTGCTTCTGCCATTTCATGTTTCAAATGCTCGCTGACAGCCACGTTTCTCCTCCTCAAAGTTCAGCCCGTCGGTGGACATGCTCATCTCGTTTCCCTCTCATTTCATATACTGACACGCAACACTGAGAGGTGAAAATGCACCCTCTAAATTGGGAGGAATCTGTTCTAGTCGTGTTTTCGACAGCAGGTGGCGCTCATGTCCTCGTAAACTGAAACACAAACTGTTTCCTTTAGCTTCTGGTGATTGAAAGTCCCCCAAAAAAAGCTAAGCGTCTGGCAGGAATATTTGCTTTATTGAATATAACACTAGAAAATTAGATTATAAAGACATTTAACTTAAGGGCTTCTGCTCCATTTACACATCTATATCAACTAGATCCCTTTGTGTCAAATTATACCATGATTATAATAAGTATTCATTAACTAAACACCATTTTAATTATTTATCTTCCTTTATTTAATAAGAGCCCATCATTTAATGATTTTAATCTGGACAAAAGATGACAATCGATGTGTAAACTAATGACAGAGCTATTTTCACCATCCATGCGTTGCATCTGGAGGAGAAACGTCCACTGTCAGTGTTTGTTGGCGTGTGCTTGCGTGTGATTTTTGACATTTTGACTTGACACAAAGAGCCTTAAAGGCTGTGAGGTGCTCAGCTGTGCCAGCAAACCAGCTCCACAGCGGGCAGCTTAAATGGAAGAAGTCAAAATGTGTGTTTCTGTTTGAGTTTAATATTTCAGTCCATCTGTCTCTGCACCCACTGTACCTGTTGTGCTCTCTCCCTGTGTGTGTGTTTGTGTGTGTGTCTGTCCATATCTGTGTTACCCCACACCGGTTCATAGGGCGCACTTCCGGTGCTTTGGCCTTGTCGCTCTAGGATGTAAGTACAAAAAAATGGCAACCCACATCTCATAGAGCCAGCATGTTCATCTGCGGTGACGTGTCCGGCATGTAGCTTTGCAGCTCCACGCATGCCAAGGCTCTCAGTGGGTCCTGATTTTCTTCTTCTCCTTCTTCTTCTTATGTCACTTGATTGTGGCAGAGGAGACAAAGACCGACTCTCCGGCCATTCAGAACGGAGGAGAGGAAGAGAAGCAGACGACAGAGGAGCTGGAGAAAGGCATGAAGGCCCTCTCGACCAACGACACCTCCTCCCCTCCTGCCGCCCCGCTGGCCAAGCTGCAGGGCGGCACCCCCGAAGGCTCCCCCTCCAAGTCCCCATCCAAGAAGAAAAAGAAGTTCAAGCCGCCGTCGTTCCTGAAGAAGAGCAAAAAGCAGAAAGAGAAGGCAGAGACCTGAGACGGGTGCATCAGACCTCGGTGACACGCCACCAGTGAAGTACTTCATAGTGTATGACAGAGCGGACCACCCCCGATCTATTCAGCGCCATTTCAGATGTCCTTCACAGACACGCTGTATTTTACTGTACTCACTGATTTTGATGTATATGGTGATTCATCTGAAGCAGGTTAACCTGAAGCACTGGTAATTCCTTTCACATACTATTTGACCCAGGCAGGATACAGCTCAACACGCTGACGCACTACTTCTGATCACCCACAGTTTCTCTCCCCCTCATGTATTTTTGCCCCCTCCCGATGGTATCAGCCTGTCCCCTCACTGCACGGGCAGTCCCACATCTATCTCTCTAACGGGAGGATTCCGACCCTGGTCTAGTTCCCACATTTCTTCGTTCACAACTCTGCGAGACTCGAGACAAAAAAAGGCTCCATTATTATCCACGTATAGGCCCCCCCACACATGTAGATTGACATTTTAGCACGTCACGTTCGTTAATCGTTATATGCATTACTTAGTTAGCATTTGGTTGTAGTTATCAGGTGTTGCAGGTGTAACGTGTGGGCACAAGTGCAGGACATGTAGACAAATATACTGATAGCTTCTGACTGTGCTCTGCTGAATGCTAGTTTTGTGTTATAGCCTGAGGGAGAGGAGAGGAGGAGCGAGGAGTCCGGCAGGCTTGCAGCAAAAGATGCCGCTGTTAACGCTGTTGTCAAAACCAAAAGGATGAAGCATAATGAATACGGTGTTTGTCGATGCAGTCTGAAACCCAGTAACAGAGTTTACTGACGGTGATAAACATTCCACTTTTTCTCATTTTCTTTTAGAAATTTCCATGTGCAAAATACCTCTACTTTCATTTCAGTTCCACCCTGTAGCTCCTATCAAAATGCTGATGTGTGATGTTGCCTCATGATTTGGATTTGTTTTATATTAGAATGTATATGTGAGTGTTGCAAGGTTGCCATGTATCAGTCATTAAACATCAAGTTTAGTTTAAAGTTAGATGCACATTTTTGGTCTCTGTCTGTCTTGATTTACACCATTCGGTCCTAATATTTGCAACTCTGAGGCATATTTTTCTCATAACATTACATATGATTACCCACACATTTCCATAATAATATTGCTGTAATACACACAGAGCAGTTCAGCTTATTTGACATTTTTGTAACTTTATAAGATGCATTACTGTAAATTAAATAGTTCAAGGTTATTTGAAAGGATTTTGACGCTGTGCATCAGTCTGTGCTTAAGGAAAGGATTCAAAATGGTCTTCTTGCTCAGATTTCATGAGGTGACACTAGAGATATTGCTTTTCACTGTCATGAAAACAAATCCCAGTGTGAGGCCTGAAGATGCCAACAAAATATCACAAACATGTTGGGCAACTAATGAAAAAACAGTGCATGTAGGGCTGGAAACCAACGCAATGAACACCTTTAACTGAGCCCCTGCTTTAGGGAGTCTACATCCCAAGGATGCACAACATACATTACAACTATTATGCTTTAAATAAAATAATGCAAGTTAAGGCCATCCAGGTCGATAGAGGGCGCTGCGTCCTGCGGAACTTTACGGAAGTGATCGAAATAAAGACATCCGGGTACTCAAGAAGATTCTAGCATACCCTCTCAGTCACTAACATACAGGTAGTAGCCGTTTGTTGGTCTTTCGTCTCTCAAGAATTGTCCGCATTCACCTGTTTGTGAATCTTGAAGCTGACCGGTGTGGATAATGGGAAGGAGCAGGAGTCGAACTCCTCCAAGACGAGGTAAGAAGTTTAGAGTAGGTGGCTAACATCGAGCTAGCTTACGTTATATCTGCGTTTGCTCCAGTGCTGCGTGTCGATAACTTCTTCTCTATTGTTACACCGGAATAACAACATATTGCAATAATTAAGGGCTGCATATGTTTGTGCTTTCAAACATTTTTTTTCACGGTGTTTCAGGGACGTTGTTCGGTCATTGTGGTTGATAAAAGCATTCAGATGTGAAAAGAGCTCTTAGCTTATCGAACGTTGCTTGGGAAATGGAAATGCTCTTTTCTTTTTTAAGTTTTAATTTCAAAACAATATCCAGCTCTCCCATCACTTTTTGCGTTATTAGTTAGTTGCCTTAGGGTTCCTTCAATGTATTTAATTGACTAACTGTCTAACTTGAGTGTAAATACATGTTAACTTGTTTTTCTTTTCTTTTACTTCTATTCAACTTAATTACAATGGGAATTTAGCAGGTGAGTGGAATTATGAAAAAACTTTCAACTTTATTATCGCAATTTTTTTTTACTTTAAAGTTGTTGTTTTTTATACTTAGATTGAATTGGTCTGGTTCCAATTAATCTGTAATATGTACGCATGCATGTATTGTGGAATCCATTAATAAGCATGGAGAACGAATTTCCCCTCTAAGATCCCAGGCACTTCATTTCAGTCCATATTTCGATTAGTAGACTAATGAAATCATTGAATTGTCGGTCCCTAACAATAATAGTTGGTGTAGTGTTTGATGACAACATTGTTATTTAGAAATAACAATTTGCTTATGTCGATATATGCACTGTTAATCCTCAGAGGACAACGGCATCCTATGCCTCCTTTATGAAAAAATTGCTTCTTGTGAAAATACAGAATCTGCAGGCACAAGAAGCTTTTTAAAATCTGTTCCTAAGGGGGTAAAAATCCATCTTTGCATCCCTGAATGAAATGAGTGTCTGGGTGTGGTGCAAACATTCAATTAGTCAGCACTAAGCAGCATTGTGTGGAAATGGGGTAAATCTCATTATGAGAATATTAGTCAAATGTTTGGACTCAGAATGTGTCATTGAAAGTCACGGTGCCATGTCCATGCTGCTTTCAGAGAGAAGACGGTCCCGCTCGGCTTCCCGGGAGCGTGAGCGAAGGCGGCGGGAGAGAGAGCGCTCTCGCTCCAGAGACCGGGACCGGGAGCGAGACCGTCGCCGGACCCGCTCACGCTCTCCTCCTCCTCACAGGAGGCGTTCCAGGTGAGATGGTCCTGAAGATAGCTTGGGTTGTAAGCTTCTCAGTATTTCATCCTTTGGTTTAAGACACAATAACCAATAAAGTTGATGCCAAACTTGAAATACAGGTCAAGATTTGTCAGTAATTCAAACCCTAATTCCAGTAAACCTTTGACGCATGTAAAATGTAAATGAAAGCAGAATTCAATTATCAACTAATCCTTTTTAACCTATGTTCAATTGAATATGTAACAGACTGCACCAAATTGCTATTGTTCCTTTTTGTTTACTTTAAATAAAGTGTCTTGTAAGTATCTGCTTTTGGGGGTTTATACTTATCTTCTCTACTAAAACTCTAGAGGCAGAAAGGATTTCATGTCCTCAGTGTTTCTGATCCTCTGCAGGTCCCCCCGACGCCATCGCTCCTCCTCCCTCTCACCAACGAGACAGAAGGACAGACATGAAGACTCGAAGGATAAGCCTCCGAAGCCCATTCAGATCTCAGGTATTAGGCGAGCAGCATGACATTATCTGCTATAAAGTGATGAAACCGGGTAAAAGTTTGTTGTTGTTTCATCTCAAACAGAGGAGGACATGCAGGGCAAAACAGAGGATGAAATAGAGATGATGAAGCTGATGGGATTTGCCTCCTTTGAGAGCTCAAAGGTGAGAGCTCAGCAGTGCTGTTTCAGAGCCACAAGAGGGCGCCAATTTCCCCTGGGCCTACATTATTTACACATTTCTGCTGGTTATTGGACTGTCTGGATTTGGAAATGCACATCTGTATTACAGCTGGTGTGTTTAACAAACAGCCCGTCCTGTGTTTATCTTTGTTCCGGTTTTGAAGTGTGCCGTTTTTGTGTTGTTTGTGCACAGGGGAAGAAAACGGATGGATCTGTGAATGCATATGCAATAAACGTGTCCATGAAGAGGAAATACAGGTACGTTCACACACAGAAGAAGGCGATCTCCATAAAGCTGAAATTTGGGCTCCGGCCGTTTGTGTTGTTGCTGTGTCATGTTTTCAGTCCCCTCACAGCATCACCTCTGTGAGAGCAGCCAATCACCTCTGCAGGTGTTTCCATGCAGAGAACACTATGCACTGCCATTGGTGCTTGGTGATGTAATCCGGAGGTGTTGCAGGGAAACGGTGATGTAATGTTCTCTTCCCTTTTTATTTTCCTTAGACAGTACATGAACAGAAAAGGAGGATTCAACAGACCACTGGACTTCATCGCCTAAAGGCTGCACCAGGTTGTGTCTACAGGCGTTTGCTCCACTCTGCCTCTGGTGACAGATTCTTGTGCTGTTTCTTATTGAGTCAAGCTTTTTTTATGTACGTACCTTTCATTTTCTTTACATGCAAGATGTAAATAGCAGTCGCTCACAGCTCAGTGTTGATGGGAGACTGATTTCTGTGTTGTTGAGATATGTGATGTTTTTATTCTGAATAAATGCATATAAAACTTATGTTTGCAGTCCTGACTCTGTTTGTGTGTGCTCCACCCCTCTCCCCCTCTTTTTTTTGGTTTGCTTTCATGCAGCCAGAATTTCTTAGTCATAAAGTTTTTTTTGTTTTTTTTTCTTCAGGCTTGTGGCTTCTTTTCTTTCTTCTTATTTACTCATTTTCATTCCTGTTCTTTAGCTCAATTGTTTTAAAACACAACTATGCTGTGAGCATTGGTCACAGCACACATTTTCAGCTTTGAAATCTTTCATTTACTGGTCTCAAAATCACCAAGAGTACTAATAAGATCTACGTCCAGTGTATCCTGTAGCTGGGCTGAGCTGATCAATGACTGCAAACAAATGTGTCCTCAGGGGGACTGTGTCCCATCTCTTCCTCTTATTTTTGAAGAAGGTCCACTTCTCCCAGCAGATCTGTACCTTAGCCTCGTTGATCCCACCTCAGATCTGATCTATTAATGCCGCTGTTGGTGGTAAGGCCACAAAGCCCCTGCAGCTCATTTTCTCTGGATGCACATTTACCTTCTGACTGTGCTGATCTCTTTTTGCTTTTTATTTGTTGCAGCCAAGCCCTTTAAAACTTGATTGTGGTGCCAAGTACATCTACCTTGTCTTAAGCTTGTGCAATACATGAGGAGGTGCTGGAGCTGTGCAGGGGTGACAGACTGGATCCTCTTTAAACAAAGCTGCAGAGTTCCTGGAAAGTACAACAACATATGTAATACATATTTATCTATATACCATATAGACATACCCCAAATGGCTTTTAAGGGTCAATTGGTAACATTTGATCAAGACAAGGTGACCAAAGTGGCTTCTCTTTGAGAATTTAGAGGCCTGAAATCTGAATGAACTGTGTTCAGGACCATGGATCAGAATAGAAAAGTAAATGTATTCATTCTGTTGGGGAAAATCAAGAGTATTGTAATGCCGAAGCCATTAATCTGAATAGATAATAAATAGATTTGATAAATTTCAGGATTGGATTTATAACCAAAGAAGGAACTCTGTTATTAGCTCTGGGTTTGGTTAATTTATAATGTATGTCATTGTTAAGCTATTTGAGTCCCACCAGAAGTACTTTTTTTCACTTCAAAGCAGGAAAATGGGCACCCTAGAGATGTTGAAATAGTCACCATTTGAACATACAAGCATCCGGAATAGCTTGGCGTATTTATAAATGAAAAGGGTTCATCTGAGCTGTAAATCAGAGTGACAGTAATATGATTAATTGAATAATATTCATAAAATTAATAGTAAATAAATATCAAATTTGGAAAGTATATATATATATATATATACACACATGTATAAATAGTACATATGAAACAACTGAGAAAGAGAAAATGTAGTATTTTCCAACATTTAGTACTTCCGGCTTCAAAATAGCTCAGGTTAGTGTAATAGGCGCGTAAAAGGAAGTGATAGCGAGTAAATATATTAATCGAACCAATGGCGTAACCTAAAATAAGGCAAACAACACCACAGGAGCCAATCATTGCCCTACACCACGAAACAGCATGGCTCAGGGGCGTGTTCACAGTTTAAAGGGCGACTTCGCTTTAGCTCGTGCGAGTTTGAACCAATAGCCAACTAGTTCATCGTGAAATAACCAATCACGACGTTAGACTTTGTTGCGCTGAAACTGTGTCCATTGCGGCTCCGCCAACATGAATAACTCAACGAAAGTTTGGACCAAAATGGCTTACCAAGGTCCACAGTGGCGGTGAGTGCCAACCCTCCAAATGATTGATGGCATAGTGAACTAATCGTGGCGAGTTGTGTTAGGACCACTAGCCAATCAGATGCCAGCACACAGAGGCTTTGTGGTAGAGTACAGTAGGTAGCTGCTGTCTACACGAACAAGTCACTATTTTTGAAGCACTTTGACAAATTGACGCGGTACCTTACTGGATATCAGTCGCTATCTACGTGTCCAACAAGATATATCACGCGTTATCAACCCAGCACAAAACTAGCCAGCTCCAAACAAGTGTAGATAAGGTTATATGGCACCGAGCAGCTAGCTGTTTTTTTATTTTATTTTAATAACCGTTTGACATCAGGAAAGTGTGTGACAACTGTACAGGCTAACGTTCTTTTCCTCCCACCGGTCGACGCTTTAAAGATCGAAAAGCTAGCAAGAACTTTGCTCGTTAGTTTGGAAACTTGCCATTCGCGTTAACACCAGCCAACCTGTGTATGTTTTATTATATTTTTTAAAGCTTTTTTTCCCCCAACAGCAGAGCTTTCGATTTTTTAATTTTATTTTAAAGAGACGTTCGCTTGGTTTTTACTCAAATTCGCCTTTTTCGTCGAAGACGCAACCAAAGAACGACGATATTAATCCAGAAAATTGGTTCACAGGGAGCAAAGTAATCCTAGCTGATCAGAGGTGCCTTGACAAGCCAGCTATCATCAAACCCTTCCTTTGAACATCGACTAAACGAGCATAAAACACGGCTCCAATTTGGACTTGAACGGAGCATTTGGTCATTTAAGACCCCTGTTTTTTAATAAAAAGAAACTTTAAAAAATACCAAGCCGTGCACGACGGGACCTAGCTGTTTAACGTCTTTTAAAATAACCGACATAACAGCTAAACAGCTCCAGGGGAGAGAGCAGCAGGACCTGAGGAAGGTTGGGTACAGTCACGGAATCCCTTATTGAACCGAAATATTATCGGTGTTATTGTTGAAAATGGCGGCGATCGAATTGGTGCAGATGTTGATCGAAGCAGCCGAGTATCTCGATCGTAGGGAACGAGGTAAAGTATGGCCGTATTGTTTACCTCTTTTTATTGTTTTTGTTGTTGTTGTTTTCATTGACACCACTTCCAGAAATGACACGTATTTGTGCACGGTATAAAACACAGCTGGGGTATTTCACTTGTTATTACATGATGTACTTATTCTGTGCATCCACGTTGTTGGATTTTGCACAGGTTATGTTTTAGCCAAGTTAAGGGTTTTTTTTTATTATGGATAATTGTATACGTTTCAAATTTCAGCTAGGTCCATTTGCAGTTTGTTTGTTTTTTCACCATAAAAGAAATGCATGCATGTATTGCAGGTACACTCAGATGTGCAAGGAGGCAATCTTTTAAAGTAGGCCCCTCCTTTCCTGCTGTTGTGGTTTGCTGGCAGAGTTTATTCCAGTTCAGGATTACATCATTGGCCAGGCTAGTTGAGGGGTTGGGGTGGGGGGGCCATGCTTGCACTGCAGCCAAAAGCAAAGCTACAGAGGTCCAAATGATCAGGTTTATGCGTGGCACATCTCATTCCCGCTTTTGCTGTTTCTGTGATTGTATTTCAGCATCACTTGATGGCAGGACACGTGACCACTTTTGTTGTGTATTTGCTTTGCAGAAGCTGAACACGGCTATGCCTCCATGCCACCCTTCATCAGCAGCAGAGAGAGGGAAAGCTTGAAAAGGAAAAGCAAAAGCAAGAAAAACACAAGTAGCAGGTAACTGCTGTTCAGTTTATTGTGGCTAAAAAAAATCTCTGAGAGGGTTCTGGCTGCAGACTGGGAGAACAGGCCAAGATGAGGCTCAGCTTCCATCATGGCTCCAAGAAATACGAGGATGATTTGGCCACTAATTATTTGATTAAAGAAAATGTAGCTGGTCATTTTCAGAGTTGCCTAAAATTATCAGCATCATAAATGTTTCAATTTAATTAGATTAAGCAGCCTGGTTGTTTTAGCTGTGATCAGTACTATAGCCAGTTAATTAAATCCACAGTCTCAGATCAACCTGGGTAGTTTGTTGTCTGGAAAGTATGGTAACAGTGTTAGCACTAGCTCATGGAGTTTGGACCATTTCAGTTAATCAGGCCACCTATTTTGTTATCAGTTATCTGCTCACGTATTTCCAACACCGCTGGACCAGAAAAATGATCTACATTACTGCATAATAACAACTGAACAAAGTCTGTAATTGTCCTCTCATTAGCATTAATTGCATTGTCCCCTTGTGTTGATAGTCCTTTGAAGATTAAAGGATACTCTCTTTGGAGATTCTCCAGTCTTACAAGGTCTTAAAATGACATAAATAAAATGTCAGATAAACACCAATGCTTTGGAAAAACCCAACAGCCAGGGCCTCAGTTAGCATCCATCTATCCATCCATTATCATAACCGCTTAATTGCCGGGAGAACTGGAGCCTATCCCAGTGGTCAATGGGCGAGAGGCGGGGTACACCCGGACAGTCCGCCAGTCCATAGCAGGGCAACACAGAAACATACGAGGACAAACAACCACGCAATCTCCTAAGGGCAATTTGGAATGTCCAATCAACCTAACACGCTGGTATTTGGACTGTGGGAGGAAGCGGAGAACCCGGAGAGAACCCACACAGACACAGGGAGAACTTGCAAACTCTACATAGAAAAGCATGGGTCCCCTGGGAGTCAAACCCAGAACCTTACTTCTAACCACCACACCACCGTGCCGCCCTCTCAGTTAGCATGTTCAACTTTAAAGTACAGCATATAAAGGTCTAAAATTCACATCTGTTCACAGTTTAGCTAAGATTTAATGAGTTATTAGGAGTTTATTGCTAGTCGTACATCTCGTTCCTGTTTGGCTGCGTGTTGTTTATCATTCACTCGAAGGACTGAAGGACAGATTGTTGTAATTATTGTCTGTGTATGTTACTGTTAACGCTATCCGGCCCCTAAATGAATGTCAGGAGGCCACTGCAAGCCCCCTAATGTAATCAGGGAAGGCACAAACATGCATGAAAAGGGGAAGGTGCGTCAGAGGGCATGGGGCTGTTTAATCCGGTGGCATTTCCTCTGCTTTTTGCCCGACTCAAGTCTCCACTGTTTTACTTTGGTAGCATTTCCTGTCTCCAGCTGAAGTGTGCTCTCGGCCCGGTCTGCAGCCATAAACCCATTTAGGTCATTGTTTCTCCGCTATTTGACAGGCCGCCCATCACACCCCCTCTTTGAATTGGTTCCCACTGCTTGCCGGATTATTTTTCATGCTGTTTATGTTTCAAACCCCGGTTATGTTTGGCTTTCGCCGCTCACGGCTGCCTGTTCAACGGATGAGAGTTGCTAACGAAACTTGAAAAAGGCAGAAAAGCCAGTATGTTTTATGATGAAGCCACATTTAATGTTTGGTTTCCCTTTAGAGAAGGTTCTGGTTAGAAAAACAATGTGAAACTCTAGTCAGATCCAAGTCAGATGTCTCATGCGTGCATAACTCAGGCTGTGGCCGCATGGGTGTGTGTTCTGTGTCAAGAGTGTGTTCAGATTTCAGGTTGTGTTCTTTAAAGCGAGTGACTGACAGCAGCAAACATCAGCTTGGCTTTAAAGTGAATGGCCACCAAACTGGGTCAGTCAAGGTGACATGTCAGTGAGTAGACACGTCCCCCTCAGTGGACACCAGGTCATTCAGTTTGTCAAATAAAGCCCACAAATCCATCATTACAGGACACATTTGTTCATTTTCAATCGCACAAGTTATTTTGTTAACTTCAGGGTGTGATCTGATTTGTCAGTAAAAGCTAAAAAAATCGTCTGAATTATCAGCAGTTACCCGGTGTCACACCAACCAGATCATCCGCTCGACCTCTGAAGCTAATCTCTGCAGTTTCTTCTTTTTGATTCTGTTGTGAACAGAAAAACCTCCCGCTGGTAAAGGGAATAAGAAGCAGGAAACGTTTTTTGATGGTAGAGTAAAGCCCTGGTTATATCTTTTGTGCATGGCAGTGCTTTGAGCGACCATGTTCTTCCCTTTCTGCTGTGTTTTAAAGGAGCCGGGGCATGCCGTGTGGCATTAGCGGGCTTTCACCTAAGATCATGTCTCAACAAGCTCCTCAGCTCTACGTTTTTAGACGTGCCGGGCTGAGAAAATGTGGGGCTCCCTCGGTTTGCCCAACAGATACCAGTCTTCTGCCTCATTCTCAGTTGGAAGAGCATTTTTCCCAACCTTCCAGCCTTTCGTTTGCACTTTTCGAGCCGCTGTGGATTTTTTAGCTGTTAGCCATGGCTTTTTGAGGGAAACAGAGCCTCACTTGTTACTAAACACGGCTCTGGTGATCTGATGTGATGTGACCTGTCGGCTTTTGGCCGTCTGAGGGATCTGAGATGATGAGGGTTTTAGTTTTCTTCTTTCGGCGCTGAAACGTTGGATGCAAAGCTGTGTGTGGCCTTTCAGCACAGTATGTACGTTCCCCTCCAGCTTCTGTTGCATCCTTCACGTATGGATGTGTGGATGGTGGGGGAGGGGAGGCTTTCAGCTTTGTACACATTCATGTGTGTCAGTCGTAGTGACTCCCTCCCCCTCAGCTCCGTTTCTGCACCTCTCACACGATCCTCCCTCTCTCCTCACCTCCTCCATCCTTCTGTGCTTCCCCTGCTCTCACTTTTGGCAGCCGGTGGAGGACACCAGCTCCTCCATTACACACACAGGAAAAGTCATCCCTGGATGGATTCGGCAGCCATGCTCAGGCCCAAGCGTGGAGCCACACACGCTTTTCTTCGCTTGGGAAAATACCCATTTTTGAGGTTTAGGTGGTGGAAAATGTGCTATAATTTGGGCCCGTTTCCGTTTAAACAAACAATAAATCCTCCCTGCTTCTCCAAACCGTGAGCGTCCCAATGGCTTTCCCACACTCATCACTAGCACTTCTGAGATTAGCAGGAAAAGCTGCAAATGCATCGGCTTTCCGATGGCAGATGCTCCACAAAGTGCGAAACCAGAGCAGATAAAATGGACCAGAGAGTGGTATTTATATTTGTTTACTCTTTAGTGACAGATATGTCATGAAAGAAAAGGTAATGCGGTCAGAATCCATCAGACGTGTGTGGAAGAAGCTGCAGGTGGCGTGTCTCTTATGGATGTTTCAAAGCCACACGATTACCGGTGCTCATCTGGAACTGTAGCCATCTCTCCCTGTTGTAGTTTAAAAGACCATCCGGCTGGGCTTTAGGCTGGTCAAGTCTAATCCCGTCGCAATCAGGGTAACCAGGCTTAAATGCATCCAAAACATGTGAGAACTGAGTTTTAGCTGCTAAACCAGCAGGACTTTGACCCCCTGTCTTCTTGGCATACATACCTCGATATGAAAGTTGATGTGTGGAGTTGTTTCAGACTCTGGTGCTGTGATAAAGCCCACTGGGGGTTGTTTTTCTGTCCCAACTGGCTAAACACGTGGGAACATGACTATGAATGAATGTAATGACTGTAATCCAATGTGATTGTTCCACTCTGATTCACTAATAGCGATTTAAGTTTCCCCTTTATGACCTACAGCTCTGTCCAAAAATACTGTTCTGGCCCTCATTTAGCTTTCTTTTAATCTTTTAAAGCTGTTTTGAGCAACAGTTTTTCTAACTTTCTGAAGGTCTTTCAATGTTTTTCCTCATTTTATGTCCAGTTCTTCTACCTGTTTGTCAGTCGCGAGTGTGTTTTTGTCTGACAGGCCACCAAAGTGCTGTTAAAACCCAAAAAGACATAAAAGGCAACACTCCTTTGCTAAGAACACCATTTGGATGGTAATCTTTGGGGCTACTGAAGCACTGTGGGATCATCTGTGCTGAAAACAACACAAAAGGCAGCCAGCATCCAGAGGACAGCTTGTCTTAGAGGCTCGTATTTGCCTTGTTTTGGCAGCACGCAGAGAAATGAGAGGTGGCTTAAAACTGTCATTCAGATCTGTGGGACTGAGGTTGGTAAATGTGGAAGATATGGGACCCTGGCAGGAGGTGCACCATCTTCCAGAGCCTGAAATGTAGCCTGAGTGTACGGGATCGCTGTTGTGCTCTTATGTCACCAGTGGCTGTCTGCCCTGGACAGGAATGTACACTGGGTAGAGGGGGGGGGGGGCAAAATAAGAGGGGAAAACCGCTCTGGGAGGCGCGCTCAGACACATCCCAGTGACGCTTGGAAAAAATGGGGAAATAAATACATATTTTTGGTGATCTCGGGCTGCGGACATGTAGCGGGGCACAGCTTTAACAGTCCAAAAGTGGATTGAAGTGTGTGTCTGCGGGTGAGTGTCAGACAGCTCTGACATAGCTGCAAATACAGAGACTATTTTGGGACTAAGGGGGGGCCTTCGGGGTCAGGTGGAGGTGGAGACGAGTTCAAGAATGCAGGGCGAATCTTCTTCGTCTCCTCCCGCCGCCCCCCCCCTTTCGTTTACCCGTTCATTCTACAAGTTGCTGGCAAATTTCCTCCAAAATCTGCACTTGACCTGGTTTCTGTATTTGCTCTGTCTGCATGCCACTGTCTGTCTGTGTATGTATGTGTGTGTGTGTGTGTGTGTACCACCTAAACACTGCAGTGCAGGAGTCGCTCTGGCCACTCGCTCGCCGCCCTCTCTCATTTTACCTCCACCGTGCTTCCCCTCCCCCACCCCGACCAGGGCTGCACGTATTATGGATAATCGGCCAATATGAAAGGACATAGTTCCGTCTTCTCCGCTCCTCTGTTTCTAGTTACTGTTACTATGTTTATCCCTGGGCCTCCTTGTCACATGACTGTGTGGGAAAGTGGTCCTTCCTGCCTCCATCACACAGGCCCAAAATTCCCATCCTCCTACCCACACACACCCCCACAGCCTGTTGTTTGCTTAGGCTCCCTCTTTTCATCACCGTTTCTGTTTTTATGCTTGGATTTCCACGTGTGATATGATTGTTTTGTTTTCTCTCCGCAGGTCTACGCACAACGAAATGGAAAAGAACAGGTATGTAAAAAAGTAAATGGATATGTGAAATATGCGAATATTGCAGCCTCCTCTCACACCACCCAAAAGAGAGGGGGAAATTATCATTATGATGCTTGTATGCGGCATCTGGGGGGGGGGCTTTTGTTTGAAAGTCGCTTTTATTACTGGCCATTTTTACAACCTTAAAACCAACAGAAAAAGATCGCAACGTTTCTTAAAGAGGGGTGTTTTTCTTTGTTCGCGGCTGTAATGACCCATTTCAACAGCTCATAGAAACAGGTTCAATGTCCATAATTATGGAAGAGCAGGAGCGTCACAAAAACAAATGAATCTATGTAGAAGTCGGTACAGGGACAGGAAATATGGAGAGGACTTCATTACAGAATGAAGTGAGTAATTAGATCTGACATATTCACAGGCTTTGTTGCTGTTCTTTAGCACAAATGAGGCCAAAGTAAATGTTTATGTGAATAAAAAAAGTAAAATATTTTATTCTTGCTGTCGCCTGTAAAGAAAAAAGGACATAAAAGGGAAGGACAGCTCTGTGTGTGGAACGAACCGTGAGCTTCAGCTCAGTGGATTCTGTCTAGTTAAACTGGTGTCAGTGACACCTGGCCACGCCCCCCTGGGGGCTTTACTTCCTGGTATCATAATTCAGGGTCGAATGGTGAGAGATCTAATGCCCCTGGCTGACTTGGGTTTGGTTGTGGTCCGTAACCTTTAGCTGTAATTATGCAGCAGTAGGCCCAGTGTGAGAGTAGGTCCACGTTCACCTAACCACACATCAAACCAGAGGAACCGGTTGCCGGTGCGCCCACCGTGCGTCTGTCTGGCTCTGACCACCTCCCATCCTTTATTATGTCAGAGCTAGTTAGGCCAGGACATTTCCCTGTTACATAAGGGCAGCCGGGATGGCCTTTGAGCCGAGCTGCCGCACGCGAGGCCTTAACCTGACATCCGCATCCGTGCACACGCAGACCACCCGGACCTCCAGACCAGTCCGCTTTCAGTGCGTCTCTCTGGCGACATTTTTAAACCCAAGTCTGACGTGCAGCGCCCCCCGCCCTGGCGAGGAGAGGCGCTCCTGGCGAGGCCGCAGCCGGAGGTGTGCGTTGTGTAACGGGGAGGTCGAGTGGTCACCAACACCCACCAGACTCCAGCAACAGCCGGGCTGTTAGATCAGAGCGGCTGAGAGCTTTACAGCAGGAAAACAAATGAGTGAGCTGTGTTTGCGTTTGTGTGGGCGGGGGGGGGGGGGGGGGGGGGGGGGGGGGGGGCTCTGTTAGCGATCTGTCCAGGCTTTCGCACATTCTGCTCCGTGAAACGAGGCACACACTTATTTAGTAATGTAATAACGCGGGCTTCCTGAAACGTCACGCTCCTCAAAAAAATCCCAAATCACAGCTGTTGACTAATTCTTATATTAGCGTAAACAGGAAGAGGAACGCATGCAAAGCCTCAACGCAGCGTCACTACATGCAAATAGCAAAACATACCCCAAACTCTCAGCGGCTGAATCTGAAATTGCAACCAGCCAATAAAACAGCCAATGAGGAGGAAGTACTGCCACTCGGATCCGTATTGTTTAAAGTTTCAGTGGAAACAAAGCAGGGAAAAGTTTCATTGTGTAACTAGACGTAGTTGGTTGAGGTCATCTGGCTCATTTAAAAAAAAACATTCAGACGTATAAATTGTGAATACAAACCTTCAGATTTTGAAGTATGTTTGGAATTGAAGCCAGAGTTTCCCAACACTGGTCCTAAACAGGACAGCTCTTAAGCCCTGAAGGCTCTGCCAAAGGCTGCTCATTTGAATCGGCTGTGCTGGAGCTGGGAAACATGAAAAACATGCAGGGCCCCGAGGACCAGGTCAGGAAACGCTGTCCTAAGGGTTTATAAGTAACTCTGCACACATTGTGTGTTACATTTGTATTGATTATACAAAAACCGAGACAATCATCTTTTTTTAAAAGGGGGGAAAAAGACCAAATTCCTCCTGAGGTTGTTAAGTGAAATCCAGTGCTGCAAATCCAGTGAAGCGAGACGGAAATGAAAATACCTGACAGCTCCCTCCATCTTTGTGTGTGCCCTCCGCAGGCGGGCACATTTACGGCTGTGCCTGGAGCGCTTGAAATCGCTGGTTCCGCTGGGACCGGACGCCAACAGGCACACCACCCTCAGCCTGCTGATGAAGGCCAAAGATCACATCAAGGTGCGTGTGTTTGTGCGGCGCAGGCGTGAGGGCGGCGCGCAGACGCCCTGACGCCCGCCCGCCTGCCGCTGTCCGCAGAGGCTGGAGGAGAGCGACCGGAGGGCGCAGCACACCCTGGAGCAGCTGCAGCGGGAGCAGAGGCACCTGAGGAGGCGTCTGGAGCAGCTGGGGGTGGAGAGGACCCGCATGGACAGCACCGGCTCCACCCGCTCCTCCGACAAGTCCGACTCCGACCAGGGTGAGCCGCTGGTCTCCGAGAGCTGCAGGGTATCACACAGACCGGCCAAATCCCGCAATGAGGCGGAGGTTTTCCATTTAACGACTCTGATTTTCCAATTTGAGACAGATTTAAAGAGGCTGAAGAAGGGTTTTGAATCATTTAATAATCTGGTGGCGTATGAACCTCACTGCAGTCAGCAAACGAGGTTGAACAGCGTCCAAAGAGCAATCTCCAACAATAATTTAGTACGAGGATGTTTTAGTAGAAAAATGAAGAGAATGTGAGGTAAAAAAATACACTGAGAGGAAGTTTTAGAAAAAATGAAACGGCGCATCCATTAAATTTACACGCATTTGGTGACAGAAACATGCTTTCTGTGATTTAAGATAAACAGGAACTATACCATTTTTGATTTGTCGTGACAAAAAAATCCTCTGTGGAGAAAAAAAAAGTGTTTGACCTCCACCCTCACAGTAAGGGCAGGCTATCTGTGTCCTGTGAAGGAGGACACACACACATTTTTATCTCGATGAAAGGGGCAAAGGCTGACATCGTGCAGGAGAAAGCTGTACCAAATGAGCCATAAATAGAACGCCTTGAAACCAGGATGTGCATAATTGAACTTATTTGTTTATACTGAAAACAGGCCCCAGGTTTGTCTCTAGTGTGGCGTAGGGAAAAGGAGCCATCTTTAAAAGCATTCAGCTTTTGCTTTCCGATCTCCTTCTTGGTGTATGTTTCAAATCCGATTCAAAGTAAAATCAGAAATGGTGGTGGTGTTTATCCCCCTCAGCTACAAAAGCCAAAGAGCATTTCAGGTTTTATGTCACCAGTACCCATAATGCATCTTTAAAAAGCACCACTTTTTCTCTAAAAGTATCAAAACAAGGCCTTTAAGTCTAAAATCCGGGAACTGTAAGCCAGTAACTTGTTAATCAGACAAACCGAACCCAGGCAGATCTGACCGTGCGGCCCCCCCTGTGCTGTGTGTGTGTGTGTCACAGAGGACCTGGACGTGGACGTGGAGGGGACAGACTACCTGCTGGGCGACCTGGAGTGGAGCACCAGCAGCGTGAGCGACTCAGGGGACGAGCGCGGCAGCCTGCGCAGCAGCTGCAGCGACGAGGGCTACGCCAGCGCCAGCCTGCAGCGCCTGCAGGACACTCAGGAGAGGGCCAAGCAGCTGGGCTGCAGCCTATAAAGCGCCGGCCGCCCGTCACACCTCCTCCCTCCCTCCCTGACCGGGTCAGAGGCGTCCACACCCACAGCCGCCAGTCTTAAGGGTGTCCCCCCACTCGGCCCCTGGCCAATCGAACGAGTGGGGCTTGAAAAAAAAAAAACACTCCCGACCCCGACCCTCTCCGTCCTTCCAAAAAAACCTCAACTTTCAGCCGGAGAATGTTACCACACAATGTCCCACTGCCTCTTTTTCTACGCCCGCAGAGCCGTGGGGAAGCACTTCTGAGATTCCACAACACCTCTGCCGCACACACACCCCGGGAACACACACACACCCCTTCCACGGCCCCGTGCTGACCGTCAGGCTCCCTTCAGAGAAAAAAAAAAGTTATTTTGGTAAACGGCTTTTTAAACGGCGTCTTTTCCGAAGGGCCCCCAGCGGCATTAAAGCTGCCAGCTGAAGTGAATGTTTGTGAAACACGTCGGTCCGCGGACGTCTGCGGACGCTAAACCAGATTTGTGGCGTTAAACTTTTCGGGGGGCGGACAGCAATACATCCCTCAGAAGCCCCAGCTTTCATGTCCACGCCTGCCCATGACCATGAAAAGCAAACAAAAAAAAAAACACACACACACACACAAAAAAAAAAAAACCTGCCGCATGAGATTTTGTACGGGGTTTGGGGTTGTCGTGGGGTTTTTTTTGGGGGGGGGGGTTGACGTTTTCCTGCCTCTCTCTCTGATGACTGTGGCGTTTTTACAGCATCTCCTCCCCGTGTGTGTGTTTGTGGTGTCCAGACGGGCCGAGAGCAGGTTGAGTCTGTCAGGTGCTGTACACTGCCCCCCCCCCCCCACTGCCCCGTTGAGCAGGTGTTAGCAGGGAGGGGCCGGCCGATCTACCTATAGCAGTCCAGAGACTAGAGCACATTCCAGGGTGTAGAGAAGACAAGCGGCCAGACAGAGCATTATTTTTGAAAGCGGGTGTTCCTGCGGGGGGGGGGTTAGTCTGGGAGCAGAATTCCTGTCCTGTGTTCACGTCAAAAAAAAAAGAAAAGCACTAAAATGTTTAAAAAAAACACAGATTTTCTCTCCCTTGCCTTCATATAGTAGCTATTTATTGTTTCTGGAGAAAAATACACCCTTTGCTGTAAATAGTTTTCAAACAGATCTATGTCTATTGGCAAATGTATTTATTAGATATACTGAATATATAGATGAATATATAAAGATATATTTAGTCATAGCTTATGTACTTCTTGTGAGGTTTATGGAGAGTTTTATCATATGTAGTTTGTTTGCACAGCCCATGAAATCTATAAAGTATTTAGAAATGTCTGTTGTGCCTCGAGACGTTTTGTGGTTGTTGAATTCGGCTCATTTTGTTGGTGGTTGAGTCTTATTAGCTATTTAAAAAGCGGTTTTTGCCCCCGTTATCGGAGGGACGGTGGGACGACGGTAGAAAAAAAACAAAAAAGAAGGAAGAATAAGAAATAAATCAGAAAAAAAAAAAGCGGTAAAACCTGAGAGGGGGCTGGCGGCGGGCTGATGAATGTAAATCTGAAGCAGCTCGGTGCCAAAGCAACAAAGCAAAGCTCCCCAGTCCTGGAACAAAAACAAACAAAAAAAAACAAAAAAACTAAAGACAAAACTACAAAAAACAGGTATACGGTTGTTTAGTCTTTGAGTGTGGCATGCTGCTTCTTTTCGTCATGGTGAAGGTAGCCGTGCTTCCAGGGAAAACGCCGTGAGGCGGAGGTGTGCGTGGGCGGGCGTGTTGACTGAAAACGCCATCTGTCGGTGCGCGTGTGTGTGTGTGTGTGTGTATGCGTTTAATTTCGTCACTGTCTTCAGAGAGAAATTCATAGGGTGGTAGTGGGTGGGGTTTTAAAGAAATGTATGGTTATTTCTGTTTCCTGTATGTTTAAAAAAAATGCCAAAAAAATAGGAAAAGTTGAGTTCACTTAAGCATTAATGTCCAAGGGAGTCTTATGTTTCCCGCCTTTTGTCCCCCACACATCACCCAAATGCGCCCTTGTGCTGGCCAGGTGGTCATCAGAGCCCCCTCCACCCCCCCTCTGCCCCCCCCCCCCTCCCCAAAGACTGGGCGACCCCGGTGCTCTCAGCATCTGCCTTAAGAAGTAGGTGTTGGAATCTCGAAGAACAAGACTACAGTCAGACCAGTTGTTTAAGCTACAGCTCTCAGCATCAGGAGGAACTTGCGTTCATGTGTATATTTCTTTTTTTTTTTCTTTGCACACTTTTGTCCCCGCGTACACAACACGGCTGAAAAACGCCTTCAAACAGACACGCAAATATACGGCGGCGCAGAAGGGAAAGACGATCCACAGTATCACAAAGGTCATTCCTTTTCATCGTGACTGTCTCAGGCGTGGTGCTCTCATTCGTTACATACAACACACACACACACACACACAACACACACACGCCGCGTCATAGCTGTACAGAAAAATCCTCATCACCTGCTGCCTTTCTCCTCCGAAAGGTCAAATGTCTGTTTTTCTGACTAATAAGGACTTTTTTCTGCACTTACTTTTTAAGAATTGGAGAATTTGGACACTGTCTTCTAAACGATTAAACCGAAATGTGTGAGGTTAAAAGAAACAAAAAACTGTGGAGCAGCAATTTATATTTGCCAGTGATATTAAAATAAACTATTTGAAACCCTTGTTTACCTACCTATCACCTCGTCAGGGTCTTTATTCTGGACATTAAAAAAAAGCCTGGGCAGCAATTATGTTGAGAGGACCAATAAAGAGGAACCCAAGCCACCGCTTTCAAACATGGTGAGTAATGTTCATGTGGAGGCTGGACGGGCAGTAATGAGGAGGTTTTTGAACGGGAGATAAAAGGAACGGCTTCACGGTGGCCTGATCGTCGGCAGCCAACCACTGTGGTACAGAGTAATCTCCTGGCCAAATCCCAGATTTGTGTGATGGCAGCCATCTGACTGCTCCTCCAGAACCGAGGAGCAGGCAACCAGAGGAGGAGGAGGAGGTGGGGGTGGGCATCTGAAAAAGCATCTAGCATCTCCATCTGACTGCTGAGGGGGAGGGGACTCACAATAGCTCATTTTTGTCTTCAACTTCTCCAAGGCATTAATTATGCTGCCTCTCGGGCTTTGGCTCAGATTTAGTTGGGTCTGTTCACATTGAAGTCTTCCAGTACCAAACCCGACATTAATTCTAACCAGTGTCAGCTATCTCTGTACTTATTGTGCAAATATGTCCCTGTCCAGAGCTGTTCAGAACCAGATAAAACACCTGCAACTGGCTCGTGAAGACAGAATATATCTGCTTTGAATCTTTTCTCCTTGCTGAGCTTTGACGTTAAAGTACTTCCTCAAAGCTGCATTAAAAGTCCTTTGAGCTTTGGCCTTTCTTAGATTTGAATGATGTAGCAAGGATTAGTCAAATCTAATCAGTTTGAAAGCAGAAAATCAGGATTTCTCAGACTAACTTCTATGAAAATGACCAGAAGTGATCATGTGTATATACTGTCCAGCTGTTTTGGGTTCTTGTGTTAAAACCCTTTAGCCATACTGTGACACCAGATTTGATCCATAAATCAGAAATCACAGCTAATGTTCTTGCATGTCACAAAAAAAATGCATTGAATAGTGGATGTTGTCCCAGTTTCTCCCTTCACCTGTGCAGTATGTTAGATTAGACAAAAGCTTCCAGATGTTCATCTTGCTAAGTAGCTTGCTAAGAAGCTAGCTAGTTCGCTAGCTAGTTCGTTAGCTAAAAAACATAATGTAGCTTAGCCAGATAGATAGATAGATAGATAGATAGATAGATAGATAGATAGATAGA